TTTATTGTTACTGATCAGTTCCATGTTTACAGCTTGGTAGGCTATGACTGTTTTTTTAAAAGGGTGATAGGTTCCACTTTTATTGTTACTGATCAGTTCCATGTTTACAGCTTGGTAGGCTATGACTGTTTTTTTAAAAGGGTGATAGGTTCCACTTTTATTGTTATTATGCAGTTTATAATTTCGATGCTTGAAAAAAATCAAATTAATTTTTAACCCCTAATTAATTTTGTTCAGCATATTTGGAGATATAAGTCAAACTTAAGCATCTTGTTTAAAACTGTTGCAAGTAAAAACATACAAAATACCACACATTTGCAAAGTTAGATTTTTTGCACAAAATTCCATTAGCTGTCGTAGCAGATCGTTTTAAAAGTGGGAGAATCGTACTGACCACTGAAGTAGAAAACCAGTCTTCGTTTTTTTTTTGTTTTTTTAAGTTGTTGTTCTTGTTTCATCAGTTTTAACAACTATCAGATCAACAAGATACTCCAGGAACTGGTTTATCTCTTGCAAATTAGCCTAAATATCTAACGTGTTCGTCTCGATAACTGTTACGCAGTAGATATTCTTGTTTTAGCATACTTTGTATCTTGAGGAGTGATACAAATGTTGGTTCCATGTTACTCAGAGATATTTTAAGCTTATATCTTGTAAGACTAGGATTTATTATTAAAAACAAATATGTAAGTTGAAAACAGATCACACTAATTTTACTGTTTTCAGTGCATTGGCATTAATAGTTAGTTGTCCAGTGTTTGAAAAGAAAAGAGCTGAAAATAATATTTATGTAAACAGGTCGTTGAACGTAACACAAGACTGAACGACGTGAGGACAGTGGCTGTGTATGAGAGATTATTTTGACTCAAGCGTTTCTTTGTGTTTAATACAATGTCTATTTAATAAACTCTGATACTGGAATTTATCAACTCGATATATTTTCTTCCAGAAAATAATAAATTTTGAAACTTTAAACATCCTTTATAATGCATAAATATTAAAGATAAATCATTTACATATTTGAATATCTAAGAAAAGCAGTTTTATAACGCTTTTTTTATGCTGGTGTCACCTGTAATACGAAACGCGTGTCGCATGAAACAAGTGTTTGACTGCACTCAAAGGCTGTGAAACGAGATACACGAAATTGTCTTAAAAGACATTTTCTAATGATAAAGAGCTTTCAGTTTACCTATGATGCAGAAATTCACCGCATTTACTTGTAGAATTAGGATAGTCTAGCGTATTGAATTCGTTAGTTTGTGTACTCTTAGTGTCTGTAACAATTTGATCACAAAAATAAGACTTACTACGATCAGCAGGGGAATGCTGTGTTAATAGATTAAAAAGTTCCCTCAATCCTGACAGAATAGAATGAGAGAGAGAGTGTTAGCTAGTAAACAGTTTTTGCGGGAATTTAATGATGTGATTTTTACTGATACGACCATGGACACCTATCAGTAAGTGACTAGATTTTTAAGTACATTGCCTAATAACGGGGATTTTTAACAGAACCATTTCAAATTCTTGATAACGCTGAAGGATATACTTCAGGTTCTTCTTCAACCAAAATTAAGTAAATCATAAAATATAATATGTCTACGTCATCACTGTAGGTTATTACATAGGTCCTGGCCATGCGAGGGTAAGAAGTTTTCTCTATACATGGTTTACGCAAGCATATAAACGTTGTCAAATTGAATTAACGAAATTTACTATTGCTGCATATTTTGCAGCTAGACCTTTTTCAATTACCACTGATCAACTGCAGCTCTGTATACATTAGAGGAATGTCCAGGTGGTTAGGGCACTCGACTCGCAATCTGAGGGTCGTGGGTTCGAATCCCGGTCACACCGAAACATGCTCACCCGGTGTCCGAACTAGGACGTCAGCCCTACTCCAGGATACTCACCTCCAACAGAATTTAGAGGTGTAAGAAACACCATACGAAACTACATCCGGTGTCCGAACTAAGACGTCAGTCCTACTCCAGGATACTCACCTCCAACAGAATTTAGAGGTGTTAATGTAGTTTCGTATGGTGTTTCATACACCTCTAAATTCTGTTGGAGGTGAGTATCCTGGAGTAGGACTGACGTCTTAGTTCGGACACCGGATGTAGTTTCGTATGGTGTTTCTTATATTCAAAACAAACGAACAAACAAGAACTATGCTTCATTTGGAGCAAAAATGTGAGAGTTTTTTTTTGGGGGGGGGATACTTTTCTTGTTGGGCTTAGCAAGGGACGTTAAATTCTTCAACATGTCAAGTAAGAATCAGTTATCTGAATTTCTTTTCTTTTGGTACAGTTATCAGGAAATATCCATTTTAAATATGGAGCACTGGATCGTCTCCTTTCGCGCAAAGCTACACGAGGGCTATCTGCGCTAGCCGTCCCTAATTTAGCAGTGTAAGACTAGAGGGAAGGCAGCTAGTCATCACCACCCACCGCCAACTCTTGGGCTACTCTTTTACCAACGAATAGTGGGATTGACCGTCACATTATAACGCCCCCACGGCTGAAAGGGCGAGCATGTTTGGTGTGAAGGGAATTCGAACCCGCGACCCTCAGATTGCGAGTCGAATGCCCTAACCACCTGGCCATGCCGAGCCCTCAAAATTTATAGTGCATACTAGAGAGATTTACACATTTTGATAACAAAGTTAGAGAAGAACTATCTTTACACCCCAGATAATTTTTATTTTAACCAAAATCAAAGTTCTCTTATAATTACCTGAAGATTGTTTGTTTGGAATTAAGCACAAAACTACTTAATGGGCTATCTGTGCTCCGCCCACCACGGGTATCGAAATCCGGTTTCTAGCGTTATAAGTCCGCAGACATGCCGCTGTGCCACTGGGGGCATCTAAAGATAGAGAGCAGGCGAAGCAGTAATACAGAGAGTAAGATAAGTCATGACATAGTTTGGTGAGGCCAAGAAAGATGTAGAGGAGATATGTCCACTAGAAAACATCACGAGTATTGAATGGGTCCAGGTAGGTAGCTTTAAGTTAAACCCATTGAAGATTGGCATAAGAATGTAGAGGGAAATGGCAGGACTGACCAACACAGCTGAAGTCGTGGGTAGGATATACGGGCATATAATGACACGGATAATTCAGTCAGGGCAGGGGCCGTGTAGAGAGATAGTGTTTGAACGGTCAGCGATCCATTAGCAGAATGTGAGACATCCGATAACGCACTTTTCTGGGCCATCGGTAGCAGTGAAGATCGTGACAGGATCATACTCCTGACAGTCTTCCTAAACCTCATTACAGGACTGAAGATGGGTTTTGTCCAAAGAACATTGGTAAAAACCTTTGAGAGACTCGATGACTCATCTGCTAATGAACTACATTTCAGGCCACAGCTATACATAATTCGGCAAGAAAGTGTATCACCTAGTTGGTAAGGTGCGACCCTTGGGTAACCTGGTAAAATCTTCAAATAATGTCGTCAATTAAATAGCGAAAAACATGAGACAGAGGTCACACTGGCTGATTAAGAAGCACGAGAGAAAATAAGGGGAAAGTAATTAATTGGAGAGAACGTGAAGGTGCTACTTAAATCAAATTGAATTGGGCATTATTACCAGAAGAGCTTAGAAAAGATTACTGGAGAGAGAAGAACTTGTATTAAACCAAGATTATAACAGCAATAGAGGTAATATAGTTAAAATCATTTTCATTCTATATCTGGTGTTCAAATAAATAAATATGTGTATATATATATAATTTATATTCTAAAACAAGACACACAATAATAATAAAGTAGTTTATATCGGTTACTTGTCTCCCTGTTGATGGTGATGGTTCGGAAATTCTACTTCAATTGCTCACTGAGAAACATAGTGCCATAGGACTCCTCAATTGAAAGGGGGAGAGCCTGTCCTTTGGCTGGCACTGCAAAGCTTCATACAGAACCAGCTCACTGTATTTTGCCACCGTGACCTCTCCAACTAAGGCACGTTAATACCACCGTCCCTGGTGGTGTCGAACCCAGCCGCACAGACGGGACGACATACATTTCTAGAGGAACGCCGACTAACACGCCATAACTTCCGACAATATTCTCGTTCGCCCCTTTATTATTTATGATCATCGGCCAATCCACTAATATGACCTCACCAATGTTTCTCTGACATTCACCTCGTCTCAACATTTCGGCATGTTATATCGACGTTACCGTTATTTTTAATTTTTGTTCTCTCCTCTTGTTTACTTAATTACCGTTAGCCCACTCGGCTCAGTACTCCGCTGACCTCTAAATGTCATATAACCTTTTACCACGAGCAGGGTGAAGGAGGATTGTTTAATCTTCGAACACCCTAGATTGATAATTGTTTCCTTCGGAAACAATTATTTTTTAAATCTAAATAACTGCCAAGTACCTACCTTTGGCTGGCACTAAACTTCTCTAGCGTTTGAATAAGAAATTATTATTATTATGGATAAACTGCCCCCATTGGTTAAATAAGAAAAGTACGTTAATTATAATGAGATTTACTTCACAGTCTGAATGAATTTTTTATTAAAACTTGTCATATTTTCAATCTAAACCATCCACATTATAACAGCGAGTTAGCTTTTTAGAATATTTTTTTTAGAAAAATAATTTGTTTATACAAACCAGCTTTTGAAAAGCGTATGCCATACGTTTATTCAGTTTCTAACAGTTGTTTTTTAAGAGCTTACTTTTTTTAAATCCAGCATTTATTAAACTATGCTGTGACTTTTGTAAAACGATTTTGTAGTTGTTTGCTGTTACTTTTATTTCATTAGACACATCAAAAGGTCTAAAAATAAGCTGTCTTCGTTACTTTACAAAATTATATACTTTCAGGGTTCAATTAGATAATTATTTGCAAACAAAACTCGTGAAGTGAATATATATGTTAATGTTTATAGGATTTGAGGAAACTATTTGTTTTCGTAGTTACTGGAATATTTAAGCTTCCAATACCCTGACATTTAATTTCGTATGACATCTGTGTTGAGAAGTTAAATGAAATTGGTATAGTGATTAAGTCACATGAACTTGTGTTATTATACTTGCACGAACGCGAACTAATGTGTAATAATTTAAAATGAAATACATTCGATGGCAGTTATGCTCTTAGTAACACGTAATTATATAAGCTACTTGTTTCATCGATAATTCGTCATAATGTCAACGGTGAGTTATACAGAGGTTAACGTACCGAGTTCGCTACTGAAACCCAGCCAATCAAACAAAAACAAAAAAAACTAGTTTGGGCTATATTTACTTACTGGAATACAGGGCTTGGGGTGTAAACTTAAAGAAATGTAGTCATGTTGTATGATATAAAGTTCATTGATTCGCCACGCGGTGATGCCTTGAAATTCATGTTGAAAAAACGGCCTACAGGTAATAGATTAAGTTGTTAATTACACGCCAAGATTGTAGCCCACGTGACTTGACGACCGTTCAATTTCTTGTGTTTTAGGCTCCAATGAACGTTGAAATAACACACCGGAACGACAATAGACACGTTTCTTAGGACACGTCTTATTAGGGAACCTAATGGAACACAACTTGGTCGCGCTCGGCTGTTTTCTTAATTAGCAGTATGTGATCCTGTGCTGAAAATGATTTCAAAATTAGTTCATTTACGAGTTATTTATGAAATGCTCACATTTTTACAATCTAATTAATAGGGTGATGTAAAGTAACATGGAACTGCTCTGAATTTTAAAATACTTCTGGCGTCAGCATGACATGATCTGAAATATACTGTAATTTTATGTACTGTTCATCATATGTCTATTAATGATCATATCATTTTAGGAAAATTGTAGTCCTCAGTCGGAGCGTAAAATAGAGAAGTATCCGTTTTTTTTTTTAGATTCGTTCGTTTGCCTGCTGTTTTTATTTCATGGGGAAAGGGAACAGTGGGAGTAAAATATTGTTACGTCTCCGTTTGTTAATTGATTTTCCGTAAATTCGTTCCGACGAAACTTTACCGACACAAGTCCTTACTTAATAAAACTGGTTTATTCTTTCCGAGTACAACTTTACCGATACACTCAACTTCAACAATCGCGCTAAAACAAACGCTATAACAACGAACGTCAACAATACTTCTGACTGCCGTTCAATTACTCACTATCTACAC